CGATTTGATTCATAAATATTCTAACCTTGATGAATTTACTTTAGGTGAACAAATCCTAGTTTGTGCAGATTATAAATCCAAATGATCTCAATCCTATTTTCCGTTCAGCTTTGAGGTTGCTCTTGACAAATTTAATGCATGCCCGAAATTTATATGGATCGAAAGAAAAACATTTACGCCAATATAGAGAGAGCCATCAAGGAATTAAAGCCTCCTTCAGATGAATCGCTGAATGAATGGACAATTTATTGTAGAATGCGCAGATAATATAATTTGTTATTCTAATTATAAGCATGTTTTATTTTTAAAGTATAATGAATCGAGTCGAATCCAATTTTTTTGAATTCGAATCATGATTCGGTTAGATCCAAACAAAACGAATTGAATTGCTTTAAGATCCGACTCGCTCGGAACCTTAGTTATAATAAGTCATTTGTCGAGAACAAACGTTTTGATATTGAACAAACTGTGATAATAATGAAAATTAAAGAAACAAATAATCCAGTTAGTTGAAATACATCCAAACAGATAAAAGCTTTACTTTTAAGATTGATTAAAATCAATTAAATGTCAAGTAGAATCAAAATCCTGAATATGTAATATAAGTATAATAAACGATAGTTCTATAGTTTTTCATCAATAAACGATAAGTTTTGATGAATAAAACCTTTATAACAGTATTAGAAACGAACTTTACTGTTATCATTATTGGCTTGGTAGTCATGAAAATGATTTGAAACTTAGAAACAACAATAAGGAAAAAAAAACGCGCGTGAAATTCAAAATTTTGTACCCAATTTTTTTTTTTTACATGAAGAGCTTACAAAATCCATGTCAAATCGAAAAATTTGTATGTAATTCTTCAAAAACTAAGCTATATTATCATGCAATATTGCTACGTGTAGTTTGAACACCAATGTAAATACTTTTGTCCAGATATAATATCAAACTATCCTATACACATATCGCCGGCAATTTATTTATTTATTTTATTTACCTATGTATGACATATGCCCGATAACTTTCTATGGAGTATATGCTGACTTTTTATTCCTCCATAGAGATAGCACTTAAAATTAACCTGCACCACAGATAAATAATCCATATTTTCCTTTCCAAATTTCCCAAAATGTACATTTACTAGGTTGAGTGCGTAACCCTAACAAGGTAATTGACTAAACTAAGTCATATGTCAGGTCAACTTTAGTCGAGACATTTATTACTAAATCAGGGGTTTACGTCAGTAACATTATTTTTAAGAAGTATGCCCGATAATACTATATTGAAGTAACTTCCACAACAAATTAGTGAACTGCATGCTTCATAATACATAATCTTATTATCTTATTATCATATGATGCATATATAGTAACAAGGATTTCAAGGATCAAATGAATTTGGCAAAATAAAAAGGGTCTGTGACGTTTTACCGACAATCAAAGTAAAGTTGAACTTGACATAGAAATGGTCTTGCGAGGATCACCACGACCTCCACAGAAACCACAAGATCGTAATCGTGAAATACGAATTCAAACAGTATTAAATGATCGTAACATTAGATTAACAATAGAGTTTCTTCGGGGCATTGCCCATAATATTTCATTTTAAAAATTTTTTTTTTTGTGTATATATAAAAATAATTATAATTAATGCATCACAATAAACAAATTTAATAAAAAAACATGAATATGCAATTTTTATCAATTTCGTCAGACAAAAAAAAAATATTACACATGTAACTATATTGTATTTTTATGAACTGGTTTTTGATACAAAGTAAGGATAATAAGTTGTGTTATTAGTTAATTAACGGTTGATTTAACTTGTCTGTAAAAAAACCAAACTTTTAGCTAGTTATCCAGGTCTTCACACAGTTCTTGGCAAATTGTTAACACAATGATTGATTGTCGGTAAAGTGTCTTGTCGGTAAAGTAGGTGTCGGTAAAGTGTGTGTCGGTAAAGTGTCCGGGTCCGAATAAAAAAATGATTACTAATGGAATAATGCAGATCACACTTCAAGAAAATTCTTCGCGTTTAGTATTTCTTTAAGAAATCATTATTTTTAAAAATTCAGCTTCAAGAATAGGAACAAAGAAAGTTCAGATTTTGGTTTGCTCCATATAAATTAATTATATTTCTGTCACTAACAAATTTTTATTTGATTAACTGAGTTTGTTATTTTTTAAATAGGGTAGGGCCTGCTGGGCTTTTGCCTAATAGTCTCCGACCCTAGGTCCAAGCATTTGTTGATGAGTAGGCACGCCACCAACAAACAAAAACCCAGCGGTCTGATGGGGGCGATGGAACTAAATACCCAAGACTAACCAGGTTGCAACCTCCTGAATTGTAGAATTTCAAATCAATTGCAGACACTAAGTTTATTCTAGAATAGAGGTAACATGAAGCAAACATCACACAAGTGCCGACCCACAACAGTGATCAATGCAAGATATATTAATACAGGAAATTGGTATTAAATTTTAGTTCCCATATGGTAATGGCCAAGCTTGGTCTGAGAGGGAAGTTTTTGCCAACCTTACAAAAGCCTTCCAACTTATTCAAGTCTTTTTCAACTGTGGGAAAAAATTCCATGATATTTAATTGCATAGCGCTTGCATGTTTGTGGCAAGGAAATTTTATTAAATTAGGCGCTGAAGTCAATATCGGTCGGATTTAGAAATCATGTTTTTTAGAAATGGTTTTTGAACCGATTTTTAAGGAACTGCACGAATTTGCATTCGTGTACAATTGGGAAGCACACACGCACAACGCACATCTACAATATACCAAAGTTTCCCACTGCCATTGTCCTACTTGGAAAGAGATTTTAGATTAAAATCCAACAATGACGTCATTCATTTTTAAGGGAAATGAAAATCACCACTCTGCCAGATTTTCTCATCTTTGCTTGTGTGTATGGCTCTCCTAAAATCGGTGCCTTAAAAAGTTTTGATCCTAGTGTTATCATTATATGGACGATGCAATTGATTTATTTTTATTTGAGAATAACAACTTCAAACTATTTATAATAAAGAATATAATACACAACATATATAGATGAAGGTGTTCACACGCAAGGAAAGGGTTAAACAACAACAAAAAAAGTAATGTTTGTTTAGAAAAATATTAAAAATCACCAGAATAATTACATAGGAGGAAAATACTTGGACCCCAAAGTCATTGATATCCTTTGGTTACTCTGCAGAAATTTCTATATTATGCTACAAATTTTGGTCCCTGAATCCTTGGTAATATATATACACAAATGTTCACTTCATCTGGTTTTGTTACAGCATGTCACATATAATATAATAATAATTTTTTTTTTTAGCTTAAATAATAATTTTACAAACATTTTATGTTTAAAAAAAAAAAGCTTACGGACCTTTTTTTCAAAGGGCTTTTTCCAGGATTTAAGTCTGGTCCGGTCTCAATATAGGACTGCCGCCCCAAGACCGGTCTGGGCTGTTTAGGATCGATTAACATCTCTAAAAATTATTTGCTATATACTCCATGATAAATATTTGGGATTTTTATTGGTCAGGACTGATTGTTCCAACCCTATATGCATATTTTAGAAAATCCTACCACCATTACTAACACTACATACAGTAAAACCTCTATATGACTAAACGTTTATCTGGGACACTTATGTTCGTTATAATGGGGTTGAGTAACACGTATACTGAATTTATTAGTAAGAATCAGCAAATTCGTTATAGCAAGGTTTCGGTTTACGCGTACACCGAATTTATTAGTAAGAATCAGCAAATTTCATTATAGAGAAAATTATAAAATATAGATTTAAAATCAATTAAATAATCAGTAAATATGGATCGAATTCTATGCTTTACTTTTACGTTTTCTAAGAATTCCACAAACAACCTATAAACCTTTATTTGTAACTCCATCACCTTATTGCTCTAAAAACAAAATATCGTTTCCAAAATTTAG